TTTGAAAAAAAAGACTTTTCATATGTTTTACTAGTAAAAAAATATGAAATCCGGTGATTTATGGTAGGGCAGTGTATGTATAATAGCTTTACGTTTATTATCTCGAAGTGACGATTTATACACATCATGACTTTTCATAGTGGGTCCGCTAAAATTTGGGTAATAGGCATCCAATATAATTACGTCATAGCCAGTCGCTTCGAGCTTTGGATGCTTTCATGAATTTCGGAGTATCTTTGGGATTGAGTTTCTGCATATTTAGCTCAAGATATGAGGCAAATTTGGACAATTCACCGTCTATATCTATTTTATTTTTTGTGGCTGTCACGGCCCTAATAACCTCATAAAATGTACGTTGATTTCCAGATACTGATTCATGCCATTTCTCAAACTCAAGTAAGTTACGAAAATATCTATAACAATGCGGATATTCTTGTCGGATAATCCATCCTTCTGGTTGGAGTTTTTCTGAAGTATAAAAACATTCTCTTGGACAATCAATGAGATTAAGGTATTTATATTTAGATTTTTTACGATATAAATTCATTGTTCTATTTTTTCTGTTCATTTACATCGCTTACTCTGTAAAATGTAATAAAGATCAATATTTACCTGAAAAATCAAAAAGGAGTAGAATCTCCTTAACATCTTTGCAAAAACGAGAGATATGTGTTGTTAAATCTGAATATCCGCATCTCACACTAACAGACCTTACAACGCGATTTGAATGTGGAATTAGTACTGTTGGTGATATACTTAAAGAAAAAGAACATTGGTTGGCAATTCAGGATGACAGCCCAGATGCTGACGTCAAAAAAAACAAAAAAACGTCCTCCCAAATGGCCAAGGTTAGAAGAAGCAATGAACATTGATGGCGCAGCCATACTTAACAAAAGACGTTAGATAGTTACGTCAATAAGGCCAACTAATTCGTCTCATTATATTCTATATACGTGATCGTTTTAGCTTTTGGGAATAAATAAACGGTAACATACTATTGGTCCATTTCTATACATAATATCACGTGATTCTCTTCTTTTCCGGTATATGTGTTGTACTATTACAGTCAAACCTGTTTATACCGGACGTGTATATACCGGAATCTCTTTATATCGGACAGATTCTTGTGAACCGTT